CTCACTTTGATGTTTCTCTCTGTCTTTCCCTTTCTCTTCCACATTCTCTAAAAATCAATGGAAACATATCCTCAAGTGAGGATAAAAAAAATAATAAAGAAATGTCATATCCTATGAAAAACACATCTTGAAAATGCCTAAAGAAAGTTGTCATTTTTTCATGGTGAAGGGACTGGAGTCCATGTTGATGAAAACACCTTGGTGGCTGCGGTGACTGGCAGTGGCTGCAGCAGCAGGGTGATGGGGCTGGTGCCTTCCCCTGATCAGCCCGGTCGCCTCCCACAAAGGGAGGCCAGACTGCGGCTTAGGCTTGCTCCTCAAGGGGAGCAGGGAGCGGGCCTAAGCCATCAGTAGGACATCCCCTGAGGGCTCCCAGTATGTGAGAAGGGGCAGTCTGGGCTGAGGAACCCCTCCCTCAGTGCACAAATTTCATGCAGCGGGCCCCTAGTTTTATATAAAGAGTTGGGAGACTGATTTTTCAGAGCTGAAAGAACTCAAAATAAATTTGGCAGCTCCTGAGAAGAAACTTGCTTCACCCTGCCACCTGCTACACGGAACAACAGATCTGACTTCAGGGGATATTTTCGGAAGCCAAGATTACTTCCTTTGGATGCCTGCCACATAAAATAACTCTACCCCAAATAGCTTTGGATATGCCATCGTCCATACAGTACAGGGATATTTAATTACTGGAATTTAGTTAATTAGTCATGGTTGAGCTAGAATGCTGACTTAACTCAAGTTTTTTCCTTTAAAGAGTTTATTTAGAAAGTATCATAGTATAAACAAATTGATTGCAAAGAACATACATTTAGCTATCTTAAGGGAGCCTAGGCCTACTGTTGCTTATTTCTAAAGGTGATAGTAAAAATGGCATGAATTATAAGGATGCTAGCATTGATGGTAGGTAGCATGGCCTATTTTTTGCTCTCACTCAGCCCTGCCTACTTCCTTCTTTGGTTTTTAGGTTAAGTTAATCCCACTTTTTTTTGGCAGAGAAGTTTTATTTATCACATATGTTAATACTGTATTTACAGCCCTAGCTGGTTTGGCTCAGTGGATAGAGCGTCAGCCTGTGGACTGAAGGGTGCAGGTGTGATTCCAGTCAAGGGCACATATCAGGGTTTCCAGCTTGATCCCCAGTGTGGGGTGTGCAGGAGGCAGCCAATAAATAATTCTCTTTCATCATTGATGTTTCTGTCTCTCTCTCCCTCTCCCTTCCTCTCTGAAATCAATAAAAAATATTTTTTAAAAAATACTGTATTTACCGCAGAACAGTCACATAAAAGAGCAGGCAGCAGGCAGGGATTAGCAAGGCAGGGTTAGGCTAGCATCTAGCACACAGTAGTTGTTTAGTAAGGACTTGTCACTGCTTCTCAAATGCCAACTTTTGGTACAGTAAACTGACTGACGTTTTATGTAGATGCCTGCCTATTTTGGATGTCACATTACACTTTGAACAATTAAGGATTTTATTCCATTTTTGTTGTTGTTTTGTGACTTGTCTATGAGTTAATAGAATAGTCAAAACAAGCCTTGACCATTTTTTGGTGTTTTTTTCCCCTCTCCCTAGTTATCTTTAGAGGTTAGGTGTAGGCCCCCTCCCCCCACAACAGAATAGTATTCTTATTAGAAGTTCCTAAGACAATTCCAGCATGCAAGAGCAATGGGACATAGCTGGAAGAAGATAAAAGGTAGCCATCACCTAAGGGTAATATATTCTATGGCTGTTGCACCTAGCACCTTGCCACAGACCGGGTCCTCGGTTGCCCTCTCCATTAAGCCCATTAACAGGCAGGATCCTCATTTGCTTCACAATAGTGCTTTTACCAGATTCTCCTTCACCCAGCAGCAGTAGACCTGCTTGTTCTGCAGTTGCTTCTAGATCTTTTTATTGGCCTTCTCCTTGATGCGTTGGTCCTTGGTCTTACTGTTTCTGAGACAGCCCAGGGCAGCGAGGGGTGGGGGAAGGGGATACAGGGAGGTGGGGGAGGGGAGACGGGGCGGGAGGCGGGATGGGAAGACAGGCGGGGTGGGGAGCTGGGGGAGAAGGCCTGGCGGGCCTGGCAGGGGCTCTGCTCTTAGGTAAAGATTAAGATTACGACGGGGAGGGGCGGGAGGAAAGTTGGACTGATGGAAGACTGTGACGCGGACTGGCTGACTGGGACTGCGATGCGGGCTGTGAGCAGCACGGGAAGGGTAGTATCGTGTTGGTGGGATGGAGGGGAATGAGCCGCTCCCTCGAGCAGAAGCCAAAGGGGCTGATGGCTGGTCCGGGCCCAGGCAGAGCATCTGCTCTAATCCCACTCTTCATACAGCAGCAGAGGGTCAGCCTTCGCGAAGGCAAATGATTCACAGTGAGCCTCTAAAAGGACTACCTAGGAGCAGAACTGAAACTGCTTCCAGTGAGGGCCCTGTAGTGGGGCTTCAATGTTCCCCTGGTCCCCGATACCAGGACCTGGAAAAGCTTCTCTAGTCCTCTTGCCCCAGAATCTTTCTATGAGTTAACAGAATAGTCAAGACAAGCCTTGTGGAACTTTCTATGCCCACGTTTTCCATGGGCGACATCAAATCTTAAACATGGACTGAAACATGGATTTTAAATCTTAAAAATCTTTTTTTAAAAAAATATATTTTATTGATTTTACAGAGAGAAAGGGAGAGGGATAGAGAGTTAGAAACATCAATCGGCTGCCTCCTGCACGCCCCCTACTGGGGATGTGCCCGCAACCAAGGCACAGGCCCTTGAACAGAATTGAACCCTGGACCTTTCAGCCTGCAGGCCGATGCTCTACCCACTGAGCCAAACTGGTGATGGCAATCTTAAAAATCTTTACATGGACCTTGACTTCATATTAACCTAACCAATGAAATCTTTCACTCATGAGAAATAAATAGAGGTATCCCTTGAACAGTATTTGACAAATATCGACACACATAAGATTATGGAATCAGCGTTATCTTACGCAAGCACGGGGCAAAAGTACCATTGCTTCCATCATGGCAAACCTCTCCTGATGAGAGCAGTATTAACAGAAACAAAATCCAGGAGTGGCTGTGAAAATATCTTCCAGAGGCATGGGGTTTCAGTGTTTTTTAAATCTGCCCCAAGCCACAGACTAACCACATTATTAATAAGTCAATGGGACCTTCAGATCAGAGGAATATCAATACTGCCATATGGCTACCTTTCCAGACTTGTAAGCAGTTCAAAAACTGCTTTGGATGATGCTTTCACCAATACCACTCAGGAGGCAAAAATAGTCCAGCCATTTGATTTTCTTCAACTCTAGCTTAGTCTCAAAGGCAACCATTTCAATTTCATCAAGAGAAGGTTAAAGGGGATGATAGATTGCCACTGAAAATAGTTTGCAAAGTGATCATGAGTTACATGTTTAAAGAAACTTAATAAAGAATCTATAGAGTGTGTTGGCTTAAAAAAAAAGAGAGAAGATACCACAAGTTTAGTACATTCACCTTTCTGAATAGCCACCACTTGAAACTCAGCAACATTCGCATGATTTAACTCTTCCCTAGGCGGCCAGGCATGATAGGCGACTCACACCTGCATTTTTGAAGTTCACCTTTTGCCCGTTGCAGAACAAAGTGCCACGATCCAAGGTCTCTGCCACCATTGCACTCACTGACTTTGTATTTCTAATACTCATAACTATAAACCTATATTTGCCTACTTCTGTACTCCGTCCATCAGTACAGTCCACTTTAGTGATCTTGACCTCTACCAAACTAGGGAATTCTTTTTTTAAAAAATATATTTTATTGATTTTAGAGAGGAAGGGAGAGGGAGAGAGAGAAACATCAATGATGAGAGAATCATTGATTGGCTGCCTCCTGCATGCCCCCTACCGGGGATCGAGCCTGCAACCCAGGCATGTGCCCTTGGTCGGAATAGAACCTGGGACCCTTCAGTCCGCAGGCCAACGCTCTATCCACTGAGCCAAACCAGCTAGGGCAGGGAATTCCTTTTATTTTTTAATTATATTTTATTGATTTTTTACAGAGGAAGGGAGAGGGATAGAGAGCTAGAAACATCGATGAGAGAGAAACATCGATCAGTCGCCTCCTGCACGCCTCCCACTGGGGATGTGCCCGCAACCAAGGTACATGCCCTTGACTGGAACCAATCCCGGGACCCCTCAGTCTGCAGGCCGACACTCTATCCACTGAGCCAAACCAGCTAGGGCAGGGCATTCCTTTTTAGAGTTCTTCCAAAGTAGGAGTCAGATTCTTACAATGACCACACCATGGAGCATAAAACTCGCTGAAAGTTATTCTTTCTGCAATGGTGCCATCTAAGTTATTTTCTGTGAGTGCAGCACTATGCCCTTGTCGGCCTTGGGCTGGGCAGCCAGCACCCAGACCTCTGAGGGCTGGACGGTCTCTGGGGCATCCCCATCTATACTCTGGAGTTTCAATTCCAGATACTCTTTCAGTGAGTCCAGATACTGCTTTCCCTCTTACCGCTCAATCTTTTTAGTGCTGCCGCCACGCCCGGCTCCTGGGCCCTGGTGCCTTCGTGCCTGCCACTGCCATGGCCAAACAGCAGCAGGGTAGAAGGGCCCAGTGGCCTGGGAAGCACTGGGAGAAGGTGCCCAAGGCTCATGGGCATTTGGTGGGGCTGGCGCATTCTCACATGGCAGCGGGTCCCCTCAGTGGCACCCACTCACCACCGCGCAGAGCACAGAAGTTTTTTTTTTTAATACAGAAAGAATTAGATTCTAGACTCCTGAAACTCAAATATGATGTTATAAAATTAGAGGTTCAATAACAATATTTATAATAAAAGAAACATACGTATTAGTATCCAATTTACCAAGAATGTTTACTAGTTCGGGCCTATTATTACTTTTCTGATTTGTTTCAAACAAATTAGAAAAAAATAAATCTATAGACATAATCTAAGATTTGTGAGTGGCAAGTACTACTGCTTGAAGCATTATCTTATACAGAGAGAAATATACACACCTCTAACAGGGAAGCTTAACTGCTGCAATGTTGCTGCACTTATGCAGTAACCAATCTGGGGTTCATAGGCGATGGTATCTAGACATTCATTCCAATCTTGTACATTAGTAACGGGACAATCCTGTAGATGGGTAACAAGGTCTCCCACAAAAAGACCTCTGGGTCCAACTGCAGGCGAGTCCTTGGGAAAAAGGCAAAAACAAATCAGAGAATGTGTGAAAACAAGCTATGACTAATCTGAGCAAATAATCGTTAAAGACATTGAATTGAGCCCTAATCAGTTTGGCTCAGTGGATAGAGTGTCAGCCTGCGGACTCAAGGGTCCCAGGTTCGATTCTGGTCAAGGGCATGTACCTTGGTTGCAGGCACATCCCCAGAAGGGGGTGTGTAGGAGGCAGCTGATCGATGTTTCTCTCTCATCGATGTTTCTAACTCTCTATCCCTCTCCCTTCCTCTCTGTAAAAAATCAATAAAATATATTAAAAAAATAAAGACACTGAATTGAATAAGTAGATTATTTTGAATAATATACAAAACAATCCAGCTTTGAATCCAAGATGTAAAATACTACAAAATTAAAACAAAACCCAACAATTATAGTTACTTTTCCTACCGCTACAAAATTTTGGATTTTTTGCAACTGAAAAAACAAAAACCTACTTGCCAACTGTTAAGATTAAACTAATAGTTTTTGGGTAACCTGCTAATTATTTTTTGGTGTGAAAGTAGTCATCAGAATGCCTTCATTTTCCTGTCTTCCGTGGATAAAATTGTAAAAGTCCTTATTTAGACACAGTCCCAAATATGCAGATGATACTGTCAGCACAATGAATATGTGAGCCAGTTGCTCAGGAAGGCAATTTTCTTCTTCCCTAAGTCTGAATAGAAGACTTGATGCTATCTCACTAGTTATTAAATAAGGGAGTAAAATACAGAATTGAAGACCTAAGCTCCCATGAATTGTTCTGGCTAGCTAGCTAGCCTAGGTTTCAAATGTGAAGAGACCTTTTACTAAAAAGCAGAATTATAAAAATAAACAGTAAAAGTAAATGACGCATTTTATCAACAAATTACAGGTAGAAAATCTTTATACTATCTTTGTAACTCAGAACAGAAACAATTTTTAGTATTTTTAAAAAGACAATGTATTCCACAAAACTGTTCAATTTGAAAGGATTGGCAATAATTTCTCCAGGAGAAATGGAGCATTCTGTCTAGGAAGAGAACTTTTGTTTTAGAGAGAGAATGGAAGGGAGGGGGAGAGACAGAGAGAAACATGGGTGTTAGAGAGAAACAGCGACTGGTTGCCTCCTGCATAAGCCTGGACCAGAGCTGGGGATCGAGCCCGCAACCAAGGTGTGTGCCCTCGACTGGAATCGAACAGGGAACCCTTCAGTCCGCAGGCTGACGCTCTATCCACTGAGCCAAACCATCTAGGGCTATGAGGAGAACTTGATTAAAAAGCACCTGACATAAAATGCTAAGTGTTACATCACAAAATCTGGTTTAAAAAAATGCCCAAGTAATCCATTATTTACCTCAGCAACTTCAGTGATAAGTACCCCCACTCCAGTGTAGTAAAAGGGCAAGAGGATCACAGGGAGGAGGACAAGAGCCAAAATACCCAGGAGTGCAAGGACGAAATTATGCCAGATACCTGAAAAGAGAAAAAAAGGAATAAGCTGAACCAGGGGCAGGAGTGACATAGGTATTTGGACTTCATAACACCTGGGCTTACATAACCAGAAGAAGCTGTGCGGCACAGAGATCTACTTATTAGTGCAGTAGACGGATGTTCAGTTAGACGTCTCTTCCATTTCATATATTAAAATGTAAAATAAGCATGTTAATACCACATTAAAAAGACCACATGCTAATATAACACCAATAAAACCTACATCCTATTATATATACCTAATATACATATGTATATAACACAAATGGAATATCTTCTATTTATTATAGTCTCTTTTTTTCAGAAAATGTATGTATTATTAATGTAAACATACTTGTGATCTTTTTATTTTGTTTAATTGTTTTATTGCTTAAAGTATTACAAAGGGTATTACATATGTCTCCTTTTTTCCCCCCGCCCTTGACAATCCCATGGCCTCCCCTGCCCGCCAGTGTCTTATGTCCATTGGTTATGCTTATATGCGTGCATATAAGTCCTTCGGTTGGTCTCTTACCCCCTCTTCTGCCCCCCTACTCTCCCCGGCCTTCCCGCTGCAGTTTGACAATCTGTTTGAGGCAGCTCTGCCTCTGTATCTATTTTTGTTCACAAGTTTATAATGGTCTTTTTTTAAAAATATATTTTATTGAGTTTTTACAGAGAGGAAGGGAGAGAGATAGAGAGTTAGAAATATCGATGAGAAAGAAACATCAATTAGCTGCCTCCTGCACATCTCCTACTGGGGATGTGCCCGCAACCCAGGTACATGCCCTTGACCGGAATTGAACCCGGGACCTTTCAGTCCGCAGGCTCTATCCACTGAGCCAAACCAGTTTCGGCTATAATGGTCTTTATTATCCATGTATGAGTGAGATCATGTGGCATTTTTCCTTCATTGACTGGCTTATTTCACTTAGCATAAAAAATATGTTTTTATTGATTTCAGAGAGGGAGGGAGAGGCAGAGAGAGGGAGAGAGAGAAACATAAATGATGAGAAAGAACCACTGATCGGTTGCCTCCTGAATGCCCCACACTGGGGATTGAACCCACAACACAGGCATGTGCCCTGACTGGGAATCGAGCTGTGACCTCCTGGTTCATAGGTCGACGCTCAACTACTGAGCCATGCTGGTGCGGGCTCATACTTGTGGTCTTTGAAAGGAATGTTAAAACTACCCACATAAAAGCTAAGATGGAATCAACATTCTTGCTAAACTGGGGTATGGAAATCCAAATGGTATTTGGAAAAAGAGATTGTTTTAAGAATAAAACTATTATAGAGAATATTACTGGTGGGCCAAATAGAGGATGTACCTACCATCATGTCACAGACTATAACCACCTCCATCATATATACAGAAATGGTTAGATGAACTCAGTGGAGTGCTGGAGTCTGTTTCTACCAGCTTGCCACAGACAACTATGTGCATCCCTTCCCAATTAGGGACTTCAGGTTGGCACCTTGAACTGGCCACGGTGGGACCACATATTTATGAGTCAGAAACCAGCAGAAGCTACATATCAGAGCTCCCCACCCTCCCCTTCAGAGCCAGGTGCTAAACATACACTAGCACGCGGCTATATAACCCCTCCCTCCAAACCTACCCTTCACTTCTGCTAGTTTTTGTCATAGGCCGGGTCGGGGCACACCTAGCACTCTGAGTAGCATGATTCTTAGTTGAGCAAGTCTGTCCTTAACATCACAGGATTATTTAGCATGCCTGACTCCATCCATTAAATACCGTCACTGCTCCCCTGTCAGACAACCAATGAATACCTCCCACCCCACACATTCCAAACATTCTCAGGAGGGTGATAGCATCAGCAGTAGAGAACCAATATGCTGTAATGATAGAAAAGCAACCTAAAGACATTTCCCAGACTCTCAGGAAGCTGAGTATGGTAATATGACTGTTGTGCCCAAGAGGATGTGAGTGGAAATGATGGGAATATCCCTGTCCTACTGGCTGGAATGTAGCCATAGGAGGGGGCTAAACCTGAGTCCATAACATAGAAGCTGCATGTTGGGAACGGCAGAGCTAATAAGACAGAAAAGGCCCGAATCCCTCAAATCACAAAATTATATCAGCTTTGATTTACTTACATTTAGAATGTTTTATGAGAGTTTAAGCCTGTTACTTTTAGCTATTACAGCAGCCAGATACCTAGCTAATACATGTTCCATATACCTTATTCACACTGTAAGATGACCCCTCTTTTTTGAGTGTTATAAGCGAACAAGACAGAAAAGGCTTGAGTTGCCCAAATCATAGAATTATATCGGCGCTGAGCTACTTACATTTGGAATGTTTTATGAGAGTTTAAGCCTGCTATGTTTGGTTATTACAGCAGCCAGATATCTAGCTAATATGTTCCACACACCATATTCACATTGTAAGATGGACCCCCCCACACACCCCTTTATGAGTGTTTTAAGTTGTTATTCTAAAAATATCCAGAGCAAGTCTAGTCCAGGACACATGAGTAAACAATATTTTCTGTTCTATACACAGTTCTTTTAAAAACACCAAAGGTATCAAATTACCTTTGCTTTTTCATGTATCAATTTTGGACTTTTCCCTTATCTGCACATTCATACCTATCCCATTTCTTATATCCACTACAGAGTAACCCATTTCTTTTTTTAACATATTGACTTATAAGGTTCCCTACTAACTTTTTCATACAATGCTTCAT